TTACACCAGCAACCCTGCACTTCCTCTGGAGGCAAAAATGGGATTGCCTCCATTTGGGGATACATTCTAGGGTCACTTCATTTGCCCTGGAGGTACATTGGCTGGTGCTGCTGTGTCACAGCTTACTACTTCCCTGAACTAAGCTCTTGAAAAGAGATTTTTAAAGCTACACATTAATCAAAAACTGCATCATGGCAAAAAAATTAGATGATTAGTCCGTATTAGGTCTTGCTCACTAGTGTTTCTGCTCTTTCCGATGAGGTGAGGACCTGGGAGAAATGTGGCTAACCTGAAACCAAACTTTAAGGGGCTTCACAGCCTCTTCCTGCAGATAGGATGACAGGAAAGAAGAAACAAAGACTGTCATGGGGGGCCCATTTTCATTTGTCAAATGCTTCTCTACTTTTGGGAGAACATGGGGGTTTTGTTGCCTCCAAAAGCCACCTTTTGTTCTTCAGAGTTATACCTCGGTATAACCTGAAACTCTTGGCCAAGGTTCAAGAGCCTGTAGACAGAATCACATATGACACAGGACAAAACTAGTATGCATATGCTACCCCCAGCGGTGTGATCTCAGTAAGCTTTCTCACTTCCCCATGGAATTCAGGTATGCAAGTAAATCTAGGTATATTTATGTAAAATAAAATAAGCAAGCAAATTTCCCTGAGCACTGACCACAGTATAAAGTCCAAAATTGCCATCACATCACAGTTACACAACAGAGCAGTTCCAGTTCTAGAAAGGAGGCAAAGATTGCATACAAAAATCATTAAATATGTGAAATAATTAACTTAATACAGGGTTTCTAATAAGGAGCTGGAAAATGTTTAATTCAAAGTCTGATTGTAGCACTAAAATGCATCTGCATGGTTTTTTGGGTTTGGGTTTTTTGTTTTGGGTTTTTTTCAGAAACAAAGTAAGAGTCTTAGAGGATGAAGAGTTAGGACAAAAGCAGTTCATTTCAAAAGCATGCCCTCTCGCAGCTGTTGTCAAGAGCAGTCTGCTAGATCACAGAAAGACCAGTAACTTCCATTTTTTTAAATAAATAAATAGGAAGATAAATGGTTTGCTCTATCAAGGTAGTCTTCTGGTGGGTGTTCTCATTTCCTGCCCAAAAGTACCATACATCATTTTGCTACCAATAATGTTTCTTAGCTATTATATGACACTACATAGGATTACAGAAGAGAAAAAAAGAGCAAGGCCCATATTAAAGGAAAGTTTGGTTCTGCTGTGCAGCTGATGGCTGCTGAAAAGGAAAAGGTCCCTCAATTTATCTAACGGAGCTGGAGCACAGCAATCACATTAGAGCCCTTTTCACATGATACAGAAAGACCAAGGACAGTTAGTGTCCTAGTTAAAATATTTTCTCTTAAAAAACAATCCATTGCAAAATATTTAAAAAGCCTATTGTAGAGGCGCTGAAGTGCAATAGGTTTACCAAAGAAGACTTTCAGGCTTGGGAGATTTCACAGAGCTGACAGTTGCCTTATGAAATTATAACTGAGGATCAATCTTAAATGCTTTTCCATACTTTAATGCCTTTTTGGAAGTGAAACAGTCAAAACTTTGATGAACCACAATTCAGAAGCAAAGGTGAGGGAGGAAAAGAAAGAGCAGTTTCAAGTTCATGCTTTGATTAATACTGACAGAGAAGAAATGGGTTCTGTTTCAGACCAGGTGCCATGGGATGGCAATTTCTCAGTGCCTTGTTGCTGTCTTTGTGTAGGAGTGGGAAAACAGTTCAGCTGTTGGCACAAACGAAGCGAGTTTTGTGCTGCACTCTGGCACCTTGGGTGGCAAGCATGAGGCAAACACTAAGCAGCAAAGCCACTGAAGTACGAAGAGAGGAGAGTGAATCTGGTTTACAGGCAGAGTAAAATGTTCCAATTTTAATACTGACAGGAAGTTTATAAAATTCTTTCCATGCTGCAGGTGCCACCCTCAGGGGGCTGCTGAAGGACAGGCTGAGAGTACAGAGTAGAAGAAGGTTTGTTGTTTTTGTTTTTTTAAAGCACTTTGAGGCTTGCTTTGGAGCCTAAATATTGGCTTATATTCCAGCAAAGACAACCTCCTCTAAGTGATCCATTACTTCTAATCCACAACCTATTACAGAGCACTGCTCTGTCAGATTCTTGATTTCTCTTGGGACAGCGGTATAATGTGAAAAGGTTAATGGGAGCTAAGAACATCCATTCCAGTTACAGCATCAGGCAGCTCAGTTCAACTTACTGGAAAAATTCTTGCTTTTAGTCAGAGTAGGTGCAGGTTTCTTTGAAATTGTCTTTAGAGAAAGACACATCACAAGGATATCATCCATGCCATAATCTCAGTTCAAGCAAAGATAAATCTCTTGAGCCATATTCCAGTACTTCTCTCAGGCCCTGGATGCTAATCTTGATTACTAGGACAGCTGTGCAGTACTATGCTAAGATAGGGCTTGATCTCCAGACTGCCTAATTCTTCCCCCAAAAACAGAATTTCCATCCCTGATGATTAGTGATATAAACTCCTCCTCCAGGGCAAAGGGAAAGAAAAGGACCCAGGTGGTGTATTTCTGTATTTGCAGCTGTTTCCGCACTATAACTTCTCTTGAGCAGATCACTTGGGCTTTGTGCTTTACACACTTCCACACAGTGATGGTGTATGAGGGGACAGACCATCAATAATAGTAGAACACTTGTTTTGCTCCCCAGCTGGGAACTTGAAGCATTGTGCTAAGAATTGTAGAGCTATTGCAAACCTTCAGGATAGCACTAAGTAACTATCAGGAGTGACCAATAAGAGTTAAGAAAGATATTTCCCTTAACCAGTTATGCAATTAGTTCCACTTAGGGCAGAAGAGCAGAGAGAATAATAATTCAGTTCTGTTAGCTTAAAGGAAATTTGAAAGACCTGAGGAAAGAAAATAAAAGTTACCCATGAGTGGTCCTCTCCCTCTCTGTGTAGAAGAGAAACAAGAATCAACTTAGTTGAAATGAACTTGCATAATGTCACTAAACAAGTTTGGCCTTTGCATTTATTATTCCCAAATACTTCCAGCTGAGCTCCTGCAACAAGACCTCTTTCTCATGTAGGGACCTTCCATTAGCACCCCACAGGAGTCTTGAGATACAGGAACACTATTATCTTCATTTTCAAATGGCGAATAAAGGTAAGCTGGGGCTCTGTGGTTTCCCCAAGGTCACTGGTAACTGAACCCAGGTTTCAATTCACAAGCTACTGACTTCGCATTGCTTTGTTCTTTCTCTCTTTACTTCGCCAAAGGGCCTCAGTGTCACTGCAAACTGCCCCCTTGTTTTACATATTCACTGATGAAGAATAAAAGAGATTATACATTATTCTAAAGGTGGCGGGATAAGCAGCACCATCCACCTCTGCACTCTGCATGAATATTCTCACTTGAAAGAGCACAAGCCTTGACTCCCATAAGTAAGAGCAGATTCAGGCCCACAGAATTTTGGTTTGATTATGAGGAAGTAAGTCTGGAGGCAAAACCAAACAAAGCCTACATAAACATGTTTTCTCTTCAGCCTTTATTAAGAGTTTCTAAAACATGTAGATCCCCATCTTCCAAACCACTATTCATCAAAACCCCAAATAACAGAGTGCTTCAGCTGTAAATTGTGTACAGCCTACACCACTAGACAACCTAGTCTACAGCCTACACCTAGACAACCCAACAGTTCTAACAGGAGGCACTAGTATCTTACAGAGCTTTAATGATTTTCCTGGAACTTAACTGATTTACATTCTTTCTGTCCATAACTTTTCATATAATTCCTCAGACACTGGATGTTTAGTGCTCTTGTAAACACAAGAAACACTTCTAGCACTTAGCTCAAGATCTCTAAAGCCCCTTTTCTGGTTTCTACAACATGTGTTGACACCTGAACTAGGAAAAATCTACCTAAACTGCCAGCACATAAGTGAAGTCTATTTTAACTGCTCCTGGTAAGTCATTGCCAATCTGTGCCCAGGCACAAACTCTAGATTTAAAATGCTCCATTTCTTTACTTAATTTTGGAACTTTAAAATATGAACAAGTCACTCAAAGGTGTATGCCTGGACAAAGCCATGCAAACACAAGAATTTGGGTGTAGTCCTGCATAGGATAAAGTTCCATAAGCCTTCTCTTACTCAGTGTCATATAAGGTTGCAGGGACTGCCATAGTCTAAACCCCAGCCCTCACCTCAACTGAAAAAAAAACAGATAAATCACTTTTTTTGGCATTCTCCTGTTCTCTCATTGATCACTGCCAGGCACAAGGGGGGCTTTTCCCCTCCATGAATCACTGGCAGTACTATTCAAGAACAGGGATGGGTTTCAAGTAGTAAGAGATGCATTTCTTCCATAATACTGTTTGGATTATCTAGGTGTTCCTGCTCCGGCAGGGGGATTGGACTAGATGATCTTTTGAGGTCCCTTCCAATCTCTAGCATACTGTGATACTGTGGATTATATTGTCAATCCCTTTCTCTATAGCAACAGACATTGGGTATTGGGGAGTGTTAATGAAAAGTGAGATTTCCAGGTGATACTATGATTCAAGGAGTACAAGTTTCGGTAAAGCAAGGTAGCAAATGTAATACTTCTGGTAAATTTCTATGTGTAGTCAACACTGCCAGTAGTTCAAACTTCTCACCCTAATCATGTTTCTAAGAGCTGGCTGTACAACAGAAAATTTCCATTCTTTCTAAACTAGCTGGTTTTTCTTAAAATAAACTTCTAGTCTGAGTGACATGCCTGTGGTAACATTCCTCTGAAAAGCCCCAGTGCCTCTGCATCTCCTCTTTCAGTAAAGTTTTTAACCTTTATTTGCATTTTCAAGCATAAAACTATTAATATAGCATACCAACACCTTCCCGTAGCAGTTATTATAGCAGAGCTTTAGGTAAATTAAAGACATGTTAGGGTCTCTAATAACAAATTACATCCTGCAGTTTTGTTTATTTAAAGGAGTTCACCCCCACAGCAAGAACATATATTTAGCTATTAGTCAGGTAAATCATTCTTAAGAGCAAACCTGGTTTATCATATTGACAGCTTTTTGTAATGCTAATTTTTCCAGAGTAGAAGGATGAATTGCAAATCAGGGGGTGTGAGTTGTTTTCAAGATCCACTATTAGGTTACTATGAAACCCCAAATCTCTTTTTCCAGGAGTGATATGGTTAAAATAATATTTATTCTTCATAAAAGCACCTTGATAAAAGTCTCTGCAGTAAAAAACTAATAACAAATGATAAATCCTAAACTACATATTAGCATTGTTTTTGAAGTGTGCTTGTAGGTACTGCCACGTATCCTGATCCATTCCCAGACCAAAAAAACAGATTGGTTTTTGGCACTCCAATGCAACAGGATGAGCACATTTGCAATGGGAACCACAGAAGGCCTTATGTTAAATGTCATTCCCTGCCTCCTCCTGGTATATCTTGAGCTCCTAATTTTGTTGCATCTATTTCTAATCAGTGGCTTGAATGAATTCTCATGGGTTGCCTGCAACACCTCTTGCTTGGCCATGTCTCAGGTAATCAAAATCCTACAAATAAAATTACTGTCACATTTCAGGTCTGGAGGTCATTGCTCAAAAAAGCAAGCATCCAAATACATGCATGGAGCCAAGAAGGAATGAGATGCCATGACTGATCCAACCAACTTATCTTCTCAGAAAGAGAAAAGAGAAATACCCAGACCTCACTATCCCCTTGCATATTTGCCTGCACTTGTATCAACAGATCAGTGAAACTGAGGTTAGAGAGCACTAAGGTTTTGACACGTGACAAACCTTGTTCCTGTATAGCTGCACACCTCCTAGCTCTGGACTGGGGAGACCAGGGAAAAGGGAAGAAATTCCTGTCCTGATCCCTCCAACACTTTAAAACCCTCATGCCTTGTAGTGCGATTAGAAGAGGCAAGAACTGCAGCAGCTGACTGTGAGTTGTGGTGGTGCATTCACATCCTTGCAACAGCACCAGGCGAATCAGCACATTTAAGCTTTGCATCCGAACTACCAAACATGAGCAGATGCATTTGACTCTTTTAATACCCAACTTACTTGCTTCCTGGTGTGATATTATGTGCTGAAGATAGCTGCAGACATAAATTACCTATTTTCCTTCAGCCAAAAGAAATAAATATTTATGGCTAATTATGGCTTCCTTTCCTCCGTTGAGTGTTCACCTGGATGAACTGCTGCAGTAAGTGCAAACACAGAGAGGCTGAGCCAAGCAGGGCAAGCAGCCATACATCCCAGATATGGGTAGCAACTGCTATGCCTCCAACCACAGGAGAAGAACAGTAAACACACAAACTTCATAGCAACACCAACCCCCATCTGCAGAGTCATTAAGGGTAATTGAGATTCCTCCTGCCCCACATTGTGGTTCTGTGGGTCAGAGCTGCAGAGACAACTTCAGCATTCACCATGAGGGGTCTTGGGACAAACTTCCAGTGTCTTACAGAAAGATGATCAAGAAACAGTCCTCTGGGATCTAGAGGCCAAAAACTTCTCTTGGTTGTGCCTACCGAGTTTTGGAGCCCTGGTGTATATAACTGGAATGAAGGCAGTGGTGAATGCCACCATCTGAATGTGCACTGGTGGTATTTCACAGTGTAATTCTTATAATGCTGCACAGAGAAACCTGCTCTATATAATGCTGTATGTAGAGATCTAGATAAATAATGCTGCTCAGGCCTGCTCAGAAATGCAACACACAGCACGATTCATACACAGCTTTGCCTCAAAATTATTTTTAAACCAAAGAAATCCACAGAAAATGTACTTAATGCCAAATACCTCCCACTGTTAGTAGCTACAGAGCCAAGAGCTTGGGTTTTGTATAGGGAGTTCATTCAGATGTATGTTGCAGTATTGCAATATTGCAGCACTTACAGTGCTGCTGTAAGCAATTCAAAACCGAATTATCACAAGTTATTCTACTGAATACAGTGACAGAGAAGGATGCCTACATTTTGTCAGACCCCCGTCTGTGGCCATAGATGCTGCAGGAATTCCTGCTAAACCATGTTAGACCACTCTTAGAGGCAGATTTTCAAAACCAGCTATCGTTATAGTCAAAGCGGAAGTGAACACCTAATAATGTAAAATCTGACTTGCTGAAATCCCTTCCTGTACTTCCAACATGAAGGAACACCAACGGTTTTGAAACCTTAAAGAAAACGCGGCGTTTAGTGGCAGTGACCGGGAATTGCGGCACGGAGGAAAGGCTTCTCAAACCCCCTTCCGTGAAGACTGTGACATACAGAGGGGTAACATTGACAATATATGACTCGTCAAAAATCCTGACACACGGTAATATTTTATCCACGAGTTCATGCAAAAATTTCCCTTTTTAAATAATAACAAAAAATACCACCAGGTGATCAGGCAGGTATTCCACTGGATGGGACTTTCTTCCATCACACACTTGATGTTTGCTTCCCTTTCTCACCCAAAACCAGTCCAAATGTTCACATTATGCCATCCCACTGCATCTGAATTATGGATTCACACGTCAAAATACCATGGGCTTGCCGTTATTTGTAATAAATCCAAGTGGAGAGCTCTGGTGTTGGGGAAAAAGAAAGGCTCTGTTTACCTACACCATCTCCCCACACATCCTAGTATTTGATCCCAGAATACTTGTTTTTACTCAGCATTCCCAGCAGCTGTAGGCAGATCTTCTGCTAGCTCTGCACTTTTCAGTATGAAACTGTGAGCAGGTTTCAGTAAGTAAAATGCTCTGTATTGATAAATAATCTCATGCCAAAGTTTAACACAGGAAAACCAATTTCTAAACTGGAAATGGACCCAATAAAGATGCAGTTAAGAAAAAAAAAGAAAAAAAAATCCTGAAGTTGGGGTTTTTGTTCAGGGTTGGTTTGGGTTCTTTGTTTTTTTTTTTTGGGGGGGGGAAGTTTGTTGTTTGGTTTTTGTTTTTTTTTTTGTCATCAAGACTCTGCATTTAAGTTTGGATTGTGTGTTACACATTGAGGAAATATATTTCATGGCTGAGAAACTGCATACCAGCAAATTCTACAGTAATGAAGAACAAATAAAGAGATAAGAGTAAAGCATGTAGATCAGTGAGATTACTTTAGTAGAGCTGGCAACCAAACCCACCACAATTCAGAAACACATTTCATTTCTTCCTCTGCACTAGCACTGAGTAAAGTTTCAGCACCTTCTAGCATTCAAGTAGCTCCCTTCAAAGGGAAGCTGAAAGTGGAAGGATTTTCACAACAATGAACTGTCTGTACAGTTGAGGCAGATGCCAGTCAAGCAAACCTTTTTCATTTTGATATTAAGCAAACGCTTTCAAATGGTGAACGAGAAACCCTATCAAGCACTGACTATGCTCAAAGGACTGGACTAAATTGGAGATGCCAGATTTAAAAATGACAATTTTGAATTTTATTTCTCTTTAAATTGACATTGCACAGTTCCAGGATTATGCATTTACTTCAAAAGTTGAAGTATTCCCCCAGAAGCTCCCAGGTAAGTATTCCATTTCACAGAGCTGCAGGCTGAGACAAGCAGACAGATTAGTTTGTTGCACATCATCAAACAACTCTGCTCTGTCACAAGCATTTGTTGATGCTTGAGGTCTTTTACTTTCTAAAACATTGTCACCTTCAGGTTTTCCATGGAGCCTGACTTCACTTAAAATGCTGGAAGCAGAAAGGGGAGGTTGGAAACAAAACTGTGTGGGGTCTTAGCACTACCAGTAAAAGCCACCAACTTGTGAGCAAAGGGGGAAGTTTTGTGGGTTCATGAAGGAAGTTTTCCTCAATGCATCTCCTAGTAACCAGCCATGGGCAAAACAAGCCTGCATCTCAGTAAACATTCCTTTTCCTCTAAGCAGTTTCACCTGCCTTTCACACAGGACAAGGGGGAAAAATGCTGTGGTTTTTCCTGAGCTGAAGCCCAAATTGCAATCATTTTTACCTGGCATTATAAAACATTTTCTAGCAGTCTCTTAGGTTTCAGACCAGCATTTTAGCACAGATAAAAATGCACGCAGGCATAGCTCTGAGCCCATTTGGATTCTTTTATGCCTCAGTTTCCCCATATGAGGGATTAGACTAGCAGGGTTTTGCCAAACTTGGCAGCCAGGAAAGGATGAGCAGCACATTTCCCTCCTGGCTATTTTAGCTATGTACAAGGTGACTGAATTCAGCCAAGTTTGAATGACTTACATGAATACAGGGCTGGTGTAGAGCAGTGATGAATCATCTTTCCCTCCATGCTTATTTCTTGCACAATAATGTATTGCAGACTTCTAATTCTGCTGCTAAACATCCATAATCTTCTGACAACTTGAGAGTCTCCAGGGATTTCATGTTTGAAACAGGGCAACAGACACAGACAGGTCAGTGAAAGCAGACTTCAGTAAATCAGTTAAAAAACATAAAGACATATTTTTATCGAGTGTGCATTTTAACACCGAAGTGGTTTACATCACTGCAACTACTGACAAGTTACCATAAGTCATTATTAATGAGACCAACAAACAAACAAAAAAACCCCCACAAAACAAAAAACTACACACCGACAAACACATTTTCCTTCCCTCCATAGAGGTATTTCACCATATAGGGCCTTTACTCTTTCTTACACAACAGCAACTAAGTATAGCAAAACACACATACATGATATCTGCTTTTCCTGGATCTACTCTGCCCTGAGCCCCTCCATCTCCCTGCATCCTCACCTGCTTCTACTGACACCCACCAAGGCATTCTAAAGGGCATCATCATCAGCAAGGCAAGACATCCCTCTTAGGCCTCACCTCTCTCCAGAAAACCCAGTCAGGTGTCCATCCCACCCCCCTTAACTATTTCCATGCTTTCCTCCCTGCAAGTAAACAAGCCAGCTCTCCTTTCTACCAGCAACACCTGTATTTCAGCTCCTGCCCACCCCTTGCTCCCCACATGGCTCCCTCTGGCCAGCAACATCCTGCAGGGTTCACAGAAGCAGCCCTGGACTACTCCAAAGAATCAGCAAGCCAGCAACACTGTCACAATATGAAGGTCTGAGCTGGACTTTCAGAGGCTTTTATCAATTTCAGCATGGGAATATCAAGTTTTCATCACATGTCTGATGTTACATGGCATTCACATCATGTAGAAAGGACCAGTCTGAGTGTATCAATCACCTCAAAGAAAGAGAAAACAGAAGTATATGCCAGTGATCCTTTCTCACCAAGGAGAATAGCTAAACTTGTCTTCAGCAGTCACTCAAGGCCCCAGCAAAACCTGTTCTACCAAAGATAAATGATCATCTGTAAAAGAACAGATACCTTTGAAAACTTCATCACTGTCATTAAAACAAAGAGTTGCCTCGGGCAGCATAAGTTTTAATAAGGTGTGCACAAACGACTAGCTACAACACAGGTCCCAGACTCTGATGAGCTTTAAGAAAATAATTCTCTATGACTCCTTTTCACCTCCTGTCCAGGTATAGCTGAAAATCTCTCCTGCTAATCACACGTGGGAGAAACAGGAGCCTGCATGCACAGGCTCCAGGCCTGGCTTTAAGTTTACGTCCATCATGCTCTTTCTAATAACCACTTGTCTCACATCAGCTGCTACACAGTTGCTCAGACAATCCAAGTCAGGGTGGGTTTTTTTTTTTTTATTCATTAAATGGATACCCCAAACACTATTAAAAAGGAACGGTATTGTCAGAAGCAATGGATAATTTTTTTTTCTACAGTATTTGGCAGGATAAGGAGATATGCAGAAAAACTCTAGGTCATTCTGTGCCTGTTGGGTCAATACACAGATATTGCAGCCAAGACACTGAATTGATTTTTAGCACTGTATTTGTGCATTTTGCTTTTGTTTTTAATCCTGACATATTGTGTGTTATGGATCACTTTGTACAAAAGTTTTGACATAACCGACTTATTTTTAACTTTTCTACAAATAATAGTACTATACCAATTGCAAAATCAGGACATGTACTGTATTATCAGGCACATTGATTATTACATTCAGATATGTTAATAACTGGGATAAAGAAACAGAGCTCACAGTAACGTTAATTTGTATGAAGGATAACCCAGGTGTATGCAGGCTCACTTCATTTGGAAATGCATGCTAGCACACACCAATTCCCAGGTGTTAAACAGGTGCAAGTATGCCTTGGTGATCACAGCAGTCTCACAGTTAATTCAGCATTTAAAGATATTGAACACATTATACTGAATCTTACTGGAAGAACAGAAGTTCCATTTACTAACATAAATATTAGGTAAAGCCTTGTGTACAAAGATGGGAATGAAAAGTAATTTATTTATCACCTTGTATCTTCAGCAAGCAGAAAAAACGTTATCAGGACTTCTCTGCACAAGGAGTAAGACACAACCACAAGACCTTGACTGATGACCTTCTTCCATTTCAAACTTCTTCCTTGCTCATGAGATCTAGTGAGCTTTCTGAAAATGGGAACAGGTTTGTATCCACCCACTTGAGTCCAGGAGCTGGGCCTCTCAGCCAAGTCTTTTGAGTGTAGCACAAGCCACAGGAGCAGGTGACTCAGCCCAGACATGCTAGTATGCCTGAACAGAAAACCTGTGTGGCTGAAGTTCCACCAAGGCACCTCAAAATAGGTCTTAAATGACTGTTTTGGTAGCCCTCCACAGAGGCATATTGTCAAAGTAAAATTTGAGAGATGCAATATTGGAAGTGAAGCAAAAGGATAAAGAGTTTCTTGGGAATGCAGAGAAATTAAAGCTACTGAGCAGGTCTTGCACTGCTGTGCCTGTGAGTAGAGCTACCCTCCATGACACTGGGAAAATACTCATACCAGATTAAGCATCAGAAAAAGAAACAGGTTGCTGTATTTGTTTTAGAGTATTTGCAAATGCCCAAAGTAGGAAATTTCTGGCATAATCCTTCAGGCCTCATCAGAAATTATTTTGGTACACTGTGCCTTTGTGTCTCGTCATCTAGTAATAGGAAAAGAGGTGCTTACAGAGTCACTGCCTCTTCATAAAAGCACAGCTTTATTTCCTCTTCTGCACCATCTAGTTTTCAACATTCAACCACTGAGCTTTGCGCGTTTGCCTTGGGAGATTATTTCTTGACTTAACAGACCTTTTTGCTGAATACAAGGAGACCTTGGTCTCCTGCTATTAGTTTTACCCATCTCTATCTGCACTCTGTGTCATTATGCCTAGTTACAGGTTATGCTAAGTAAGTTCTTTCTAGGTATCTATATCTTTCAAGTATTTGCAGATGATGCATCCCCCTATAGCTGCCAGCTAACAAAAGCATACATAATTTTTATTTTACTGTTTTCTTTAGAATACCCCAAAAACTTTTCATTGCTCTTATCTGAGTGCCCTCTGGTTGTCAACAACCTAGTAATGAGGTGTCATGAGAGTGCCTAGCATGTTAGGGTTGAACAGCAAGGAGTCCTCAGGCCTCATAGGGACAGGCTGCCTCTACCTATGCACTGCAGCAACACACAGGTGTTGGGATTAATTTACTGCTAATGGTCATATCTTGTATTTCTCAGGCCCTGCAGTTTATTTGTTTGTCTTCCCAAGACGATTAATCTGGCTGATCTTTTAGCCTTTAGCTTACTTCTGACTCTCATCACTAATTAAACAAAATGATGAATGTCTTTTGTTGTGAAGTTGGATACAGAAGAGCTCTGGACAGTGGGACAGGCACTTTTAGTGCAAGAGGCGGCCTGCCCTCCTCTCTGAGCAAAAGATCAAGGAGCTGTTGGCAACATCAATCTCCATTTGGAAAAATAATCAGGTACAACATCAGCACAGCAGAGCTTGACCTCTGTTCACCTTTCTGTCCTGTGACCATGCTACCAGATGGGAAGGTGTTTAGGACACTCCAGCTGTGCCCTAAAATCCATATCAGGAAATGGGAATTAATTGGAATGGCATAGATGTTGGATGTCACTTGTGTGCTAAACAACTCCCCACTTGTCCTTTCAAATTACGCTGCAGGTGACAGCATTGAAATATGGGGTGCTCACCTTATTTGCATTGGAAGCTTGGGATACTTATTCCTACTGCAGGTATTTGTGAAATTAGGACATTTGAGATGCAGTACTAGTACCAAAACAAGACAGAGCAAAGAGCTGATAATCTTTCACCTTCCAAATGTTTAACCAAGTAACACCCCCAAAATTTATATTGCACTGTGCTAGCGTAAAATGTATATATGTCAGAGGAAAATCATCTATTAGTTTCCATTTTCCAAATAAAGGTAATGGACAAGCAAGGGCTGGGGAGCCAGAATATCATATGTGCACTCCACCCTCCAACAGTGGCCTCCTCCTCACAGCACACTGCCTTGCAACAGAGCAATGCACTGCAGGCATGAAGGCAGCTGACTGACAGGCACCTGCCAGAATTAGCAGCTTTCTGCCCTGCAAAATACACCTCACAGCAATGCTTTCACAGCCAGACCACCCCAACAGCTGCCATCTAATGTAATGACTCAAAATTTAACCCCCAAGCCCCACACATTTGAACAAGAACACCAGCTCTATAGTACTTCGAAAATACTTACCTTTTACCAAGCTTATGGCACAGCTGCTAGCACCTATCCTTAACTTCTCCCCGTGTACTTCCTGTAAGGACAAATCTGTGTCTACTCTTTGCAGGAACTCCCTTGAGAGCTTCACCTCCTTCCCCCACAAAAGTGCAAGGGGTTTCACTTTGGTGTATGCCAGTTGCCACATTGATGGCTCAGTAACCTCAAGCCTAACACAGTGCATTACCAAGCAGCTCTGCTTTGCCTCACAGACCTAGCAGGTCTGTGCCATTCC